CAGAGAACGGAAATTAAGACAGCTGTCATTTTCTGTACTGGTCAGGGCTCTAAAAGTAATCTCTTTTTTAGTTCACAAAATGTCAAGATAACATGTATTGTGAGGGTTCTGTTTCTAATCTCTAGGATTTTAAGAGTATTCTGGCAAAATAATGACATTAACAGGAGCATGAATTGAAGTTGGAGAAATTTCATATGAACCACGTTAGTCTTCTGTATTCATTACTCCCACCTCTTCTGTGCCACTATTATACCTCCTCCGAACTTGTTCCGCAGTTTCAATCCAATTCAGCGTTTATTTTCTTACACGGGAAATTCCGTTTAGCCAGTTACCCAGCTAGTTTTGGTGGCAACGGCCTGCAGCCACTAACCGTAGAGTCATTGTTGGGGTGGAGAGCAGCTCAGACAGGAGCCAGGTAGGAAAAAAGAGATATAGATTATTTCAAGAGCAGCATGATATGATATGTAATGTAAACAACAATGAAAAACAATGCTGTACCAACAGTAATGACATTTATTAATCTGCTCCATTTATACCTACAATATGAGAAATAACATTTGTATATACATGCCATTAAATAGTTTAAAGTTAATGAAGTATATAAATAAAAAAACATCACGTTTACCTACAAAAGCATACTGGCTTCCCTAGGCATAGTTTGGAATGTACAAGCTGTGATAGTGCTACAGAGTATCTGAGCCTTAAGCGTGAGGGTCATTCAATATTGCTTTAAAACAATACCAGGTCATATAAAAACAAACGTTGGCCTTATTACGAAGCCATCTTGTCTTTCAGTACATATTACGATTTAAAAAAAAAATGTTCTTCTTGTGTGCATGCTTACTTTAAATATCCTCATCATGCATATTATTTAGGCTCAATAATCTCCAAAACACCATAGCCATTTTGAACTTCATTTAATTTGCATTGAGCAATGTTATGCAACATTATCATGTTATATTCTTGGTTCTTTCGGAAACAATACACGATAAAATAATTCTAGATTTGAAGCTTTCGTGACTGCAAGGATCCATACTCTTTGGTTCTATTCGGTAAAGTCACGTAAAAAAACAACAAATAAAAAATTCACGACGTTTCGGCCACAACACAAGTGGCCTTCATCAGGTGAAGGGATCAGACTGTCTAGAGGACATAGACAGTCTGGGTCCCTTCACCTGATGAAGGCCACTTGTGTTGTGGCCGAAACGTCGTGAATTTTTTATTTTTTGTAGTTTTTTACATGACTTTACCGAATAGAATAAAATAAAAATATATTTTTATTATTTTATTCCCTTCTACGTGACTTTACCGAAAGAACCAAGAATATGAATCTCTGCAGTCACGAAAGCTTTAAATCAAACTGATCATGTTAATCATGTTCTCATGATTCTTTTATTATTTAACAACCACCACTTCTTCCCACGCGAAGACACAATTTCTATCTCGAACCAAATCACTCCAAGTGTGCCTAGTCTCCTCGGACCTTGGAGCTGCTATGTGGCTGGCAGATGGTTACCTTGAGCATCATCCCCTTATATGCATGGATTTTATCCCAGTACATACTCCGTTTTCCTCCCACATGCCAAAATGTAAATGTATGTAAATTTGTTGAACTTCTTTCGGACCATACGTAGGCAACTGTGCTAATCGGAGGTGCGAGGGAAGGACCACAAACTAAACACAACAAGCAGTTTTAATTAAATGAGTTTTCAATCTTGATGTTAAAATGCATAGCTCCAGTGGCTTCCTAATATCGGAAGGAAGAGAATTCCGGATGTCCGCAGAAAAGCATCCCAAAGTGCACGATGCAGTGACCATCTTTGTTCGACGGCAGGCCAGAAGCTGCTGCGAGGATAACCATAATTCGCGTGCTGGTGTATGTTCCTTGACAAGATCAGCAAGGTATTGTGGTTAATTTGTGGAAAGCACTTTGTGTGCTATGAGTGCGACCTCATAATGTGTTCCTTCAGCAACTGGAAGCGAATGCAGCTCAGCGAACATTGGGCGGACATGGTCAGAAATAAAATAAAAAAATCAGCCAGCCATTCCAGTGCAGAACCTTCCTGAAAAAAAAGATCCCGAGATTCAGTGAAGCTTTTCTAGATTAAACCAAAAATTGGTATTATCTTGTCCTCGGGGTGCAGCGGTGGCAGAGTGGATCTTGAACTGCGTTCTGAAGCTGGCAACCCGAGTTCAATTTCCACTCACCTCTAACATCAGGCGCGAGTTATATTCTAAACTGGCCCCTTTTCACCTATTTGCATTGACCGGCATAGTAAAGTATGGTCAGACAACCCCATGACCGACTGAAAGTGAGGAGAGCTTTATTAAGCAGTGGATTGACAAGGGGAGGTGAATTGCTGTCATTTAGTAATTTAAACCCCTCTTTATTCATAGCACAATCCTTACCAGCTGATCAAGGGTCTGCAATAGTATCACCTCTCACGGACCAAATATACCACTTTATTTCTCAACATTCCACCATCCACCCTGTTTTACATGACTTACAAATTAAACATTCCTGATTCTCCACTTATGATGTGTATTCCATTTTCACAAGTATGCTTCTCCTCTGCACAGCTTTTACTCTATAACCGAAGGCTCGGATATCCTGTAAATAGCCTTTGTGATGTGCCTCGCTTATGTATTACACTTGCCCCAGGGATTTTCCAAGCCTCACCTGCCCAGTCAGATTATTCAAGTTTGCATTCTCGTTTGCCTGCTAGAGTATACGTCTGCAATTCTATTCTCGTGTATGCCAATGTCGGTCTGCCAGCCATGAGAGGGCTTCAGGAGAGAGTTTGTGTAGTTTTGCTATTCCTCCATTAAAGGAGCACAGACCACAGTGATTTACGATATGGTCCATAGTTTGTATATTGCGTGAGATTATACAGTATAAGTGTATGCATAATTAAATTAACCCATTGCTATTATTATTGAACACCCCTCATACGTCTTTCAAAATATTGTAGGAAGATCATCCTATTACACAGCATGAGAGGTCTTTCTGCCGCATCAGTGCAATCAAAGGCATTTGTAGAACAGCATCAGCACCACTACAACAACAGGGAGTGTGCACACTATTGCTGCAGTGTCTCGAGTCATGTATCTTCATTGTGAATCGAGCATGAGGCACAGTACAGGAGGGGTCCTATCATTTCATAACATAAGTCAGTCCCAAAGGGCCTCTGTCCACCAACGGATTGTTTTTCTTATCCCTTGAAAGACACAACAAAGAAATCTATTTATTACGCCTAGTGGTCTCACATGCACTTCACAAGCAGACGGGGCCTATCAGTAACACTCTTTGTCATCAATTACCACATATAGTTAACCTCCTGAGCGAGAGCTCAGTTTTCTGTTTTCACCTGCAGGCAGCCCAATGGGATTCCTGCTGCCAGACCAAAGTACCATATCTGTTTACCTCATTGCTCGCATGTCAATTGGTATTTATCGATTTTGGATTGTACAAGCTGTCAAGTCATCAATTACAATGTTGGTGCCTGATGCCACAGAGAAGTGACCAGCACTGGTGCATTGATTGGACTCGCCTTTCCCTCGCCCCCACCCCCAAACTTTCCCCGCACCCATGACTGCCTTGACCACATCACCTGTCTTCCATCCGGAGCAAGAATTGAATTTACACACGCATGTATGAATGTAGTTCTACTGTCAGTGTAGAAGCTGCAAGCCTCAACTTACAAATGAGAGACTACGGTTTGTTCTGTCAAGGTGGCTGAACACATTCAACTCGTTCATATTTATTTCTGTCCACTCGGCAATAAAAATGCGTCTCCCGGAGGATCACTTTGGAAGACTATACACTGGTCAGTGTGCATGTCGGATAAATGGCCCTCTAAAGAGAGGTCCTCCACTTCCAACAAGCATTGGGTGCAAACGTGAATTTAGTGCACAGCCACTATTAATAAGAGCAGGCCGTTTCAATGGCTATAGTAGCAATTTGCGTACCAATACTCATAATGTATTGTATTTTGTTAGTTTACTGCTGGATGAAAGTCTCGCCATGCTGTATCGGTCATTGGGGTTGTTTGACCATGGAGTACTTTACCGTACTTGTTAGTGCGGCTTAATAAAGCTAGTGGAGCCAGTACTGCTTCAGATATCACTAAACCACGTATTTGTTGAAATGGCCAAACATCCCAATGCAAAATCCTCCTGGATATTATATACCCTCTAAGCTTCTGGATGCCGATGATATGGAATGACTGCGGCCTGTAGCGCTGTTGACAAATTGGTGATAATATGCTGTATAGACAATTGTGGATTTCACACTGGTAAAGTGTGGGTACTCCCACCTTTTTCAAGACGACTGGAACAAAAGGCCAAATACCCTCTAGAGGGCCTCTCTATAGCTCCCTCTAGTAGAGGGCCTTCCCCCAACCAGTGGCGTAAAGCGAGCAAACATTAATTTCTCAAATTTTAGGAGACAATCGCTGGGCTCCTAAACAGCATGGGGGGAGGGGAGCTATAGATTATATAGATTCTAGATTTAAAGATATCGTGACTGCTAGGATCCATACTCTTTGGTTCTATTGGGAACCAAAGATTATATAGACTCTGCGGGGCTCTGCTGGCTCGTCTTTTGGATTCAATATCCGCTGCTGCCTCTGCTCCCTTCGCACATGGATCCAACAGAAAGTTCAATACTGACCCCTGCTGGACTAAGGAGTAATAGCTGAGGCCAATACAAATCAAAGCCAATTCCTATTTTTTTATATGTAAAACAACCGGCAACATTTAGTAAATGTTTTATTCTCGACAACATATTAAATAACCTTACTGACATGTCCTTAATTATCGACAACATTAAATAATTGTCCAAAATCACGAATTACATGTTTGAAAATTGAGAACAATCAGTGGGTATTTAAAAAAAAAGTAAAACGATAAAATATATACCGTTTTTTTAAAATGTATTTTGTTAAACTCAAACAAAAAACAACATACCATAAGGGGGGTGGGTTGGAGAGGAACCACGTGCACGCGTACAGTGCGCAGCGCCGCCACCCAGCACGTGGCCTCCGCCGTCCCACAATTCCGCGTACAGTGCGGCCACGGGAGCGCTTCCGAGCTTGAGGCGGCAGAGTCGAGAGCCTCCAGAAAGATTAAAACCGCGCAGAGAGGTAAATAAGTAGACCGCGGTAGAGTGGCAGTGAAATCTGTCTGCATTACGCCGAGTCCAGGCGTCGCTGGATGCCCGTAGTGCGCACGTGGCGCTGTACTGATGCCGAGTCTCGAGACCTTCATTCAGGAGGATGTTGGCTGCTGCCTCGTATGGCTGCTGCTGTAGACGCAGAACAACAATTTCACATTCACGTGGTGGCAGGCCATATAACCGCGTGTGGAATCGCGGAGTGTATCATCGCTGTGATGTGTCCTTCGTATTTGTGGATCGGGGTATTGCGTCGTGTGTTGTATGGATGCTGGTTCATAGGGCACATTCGATAACAAAAAAAAACACATTACACTTCAAGAGAATGTAGCTTAATGTGGGAGGAAACCGGAGTAGCCGATAAAAAAAACCACGCTTTGTCGGCTGTAGACGTTTGGCCATACTTCACTACGCCGGTCACTATGGTTAGGTGCTAGGAGGCCCAGGACCGGTCGAGTTTCAAGATGCCACTTGGGTCCTGCGATCCGCGGCGTTATGGACCAACTCTTTACGCACAAATATATTGTGCACGCACGTTAAACTGAGACGCACAATGTCAATAACTGGTCAAGTGCTGTTGAACTGGTCACGCGGAGTTTCCCACGTGGTAAATAGTCGTGGTGGAACGATGTGCATTGATCGTTAAATCGATTCTTAAGCTCACGAAAAACACGTGCGTCGAGTCGCATGTATAATAATGTTTGTGTTTCACATACTGTGTTCACGTCATCCCTGCAGTAACTATCAACTTTAGTTTTGCAGGCTGGCGCGCGGCGGGCAGGTAACGTCATGTATGTGTTGACACGAGCGAGCCTCAACCAAACATGAGTAAATGACGTACAGGCGATGGCAAAAAAAAAGTTAGCGGGACTTGTGGCGCGATTGCTTTGTGCGCTGACCTTGGTTTTTGCGCACCGCGCGTAGCCAACCGCGCCAATCGGAGGCGCTTTCATCCCTGCCAAGTGGGAGCGCCATGGCCGAAGAGGTTGCCGGCGACATCCCCGTCGACATCCCCGTCGGCATCCCCGTCGCGGCGTGCCAAGCGGGCTGGGCGCACGTGAAGCCCTCGTGAGTAGGAGCACCGCCCGGCAGGCACAGCGCGCTCCTCCCGCAGACAATTACGGTGCAGAGCCGTCTCAGCCAACGCATCCCAACTTCGACGCCAATTGGATTACAGGCATTTTTATTTTATTTGGGGAGACGTAAATACCCTTTGGTTCTTTCGGTAAAGTCGCGTAGGTCAAAAATCAAATCACGACGTTTCGGGCGCAACACAAGTGCCCGTAATCAGGTGGAAACAACCCGAGCAATAAACACATTTTTTTGCCCATTTCAGCAATTTGTTTATTGCTGGGGTTGTTTCCACCTGATGAGGGGCACTTGTGTTGCGCCCGAAACGTGATTTTATTTTATTTTTTACCTACGTGACTTTACCGAAGGAACCAAAGAGTATGGCTCCTTGCAGTCACGAAAACTTCAAATCTAGAGACATACGTGGTCTGCATGCTGCTCCGTCATGAATCGTGATGATGCATGCATTCATGAGGTGGGATTGGATTAATTGCACGACAACGCTTCCCACTGGATCATGGATCATTAGCTTGTGTCACAATCCTTGTTGATACGTGGGTTATTATCATTTCACGTGTTGTTGCCAAGTCAAATTGTGGGACTCATTCCACCCTCTGCGGTACGTTTGGTACCAGACTTGTCTCACGATGGTGAATGTCCAAAAGTATTTCCAGCCATAAGCTCGATGTCTTCAAGTATATATATATTTATTTGCAGTTAATGTTGTCACACTGCTACCAGAAACATTGTACCTCAATACTGGATTCCTGCATAATCGCATGACCTATTGGGGTAATATCACAAATCAATTACATTGATAACTTTTACTTCTAATGTGCCATATTTAGCCAGTTTCCATGCCTTTGGTGTTTGCTTGTACTTAGATGTACTGGCACAGTATTAAGAACCGTTGACTATTTTTGCTTGTTTTAAATAACTACATAAAAACACTGCTTAAGTTTTGGTAATATACTAGTTTCAGTATATTTATATGTAAACAAGTCCACAGTTGACCACGTCTCCTAATGTAATTCACCAACCTCAGTCTTGAACGTCGATAAATCTAGAAATGTGTAATGCCTTCCACAGCTACTTGACCTCAAAAGATAACTTTCATGACATTGTCAAAGCCTTCAAAGACAAGCAAAAATGTACGGGTAAGAACTCTGAAGGTGGCATCGCAGGAGAGAAGGCGGATAAGACCGGAGACAAACCAGAGCCTCCAGAAAAGAGGCCACGACTGGGAGACGATGACTGCTCCAGCGCAGGGGAGGGCAGACCTGATGCTGGCAAAAGCCACCAGCAGCGGGATGATGTCACAGTTGCAGCGACTTCGTTTGACGCTGACATCGACAGCTCGGCGCCGTCGCATCCGACCAGCACAACGGCCGTTCATGAAACCTCTACGGGCAAGAAGCGAGTACGGGGTCAAAACAAGAACAGGCCTCACGTGAAGCCCAACAGCTACGAGGTCAAGCTGTGCCCCTCCGTGTTGCAGGTAGGCACAGAAGGCTGCTGTGTGCAGGATATGTATGTCCTCAAGTTCTTGAGAGAATACAAAAATCTGTGTTCAATTTGAAACTTCCAGGAACCTATTACGATTATCCATCTCTTTTTTGGAATAATAATTAAAATGTTTAATGCGCATGCCATCCTAGGATCCAAATTCGCAATTCATGAAAAGCAGGAAACAAAAACAGAACCAGGGCAACCGAACAAACCAAAGAGATCGATGGCCAGTTTGTACGTTGTAAAATATATTGCATAACACCTGATATGTGATCGGATTTTAAAAAATGGTTTGCGTAGACTGCAACACACAGAGCTATCCATAGAATGGTAGACGTTATGTTGGTATCTACGTGGCTGTGAATAGTTCAATCGATAATGATTTAAACTTTCTTTTAATACATTTGTACACTGGGAATGTGAATACATTGGGTTCGTTTTTCTTTCAGTGATGTGCAGACACTTAAAATACCGAAGTTTTATTTTATAATTGCCTCAATTGGATGCAATTGTGTTATAGTAAAATGAACGTTCATTTGATCAGTACTGAACCATAATTGATTACTTGTATTTTTTATTTATTTTAAGATTGTATCTTATAGCTATTTTATATTCTATATTTATTCAATTTTATATACTTTAGCCCCTTGGTGTTAGTTAGACTTTGAACCCTTATTACAGTAACACTTGTTTACCACTTATTTAAGATTTTAGATTTCTATATGTTGAATGTATGCACCATCCTGCCAAAGTAAATTCCGTGTCTGTGTGAACTTTCATGGCGAATAAAACCCTTTCTGATTCTGATAAAGGTACACACCAATTGTGCATAAACCGAACTGTTAATATGCAAAGTGTTCAACTATTTTGTAGATAAAAGACAATGAAGACTTAGTGTTGCCAATGTGCAGTTTCACTTATGGCTTAATCATGCTTATCATATAAAATATTGGATAACAGTGCATAATTACGGACGATGTATGTTTGTCTCTGTTTTTCTTGCCGTGGTATGTCTTAGGGATCTACGTCTGAGTGCTTCTATGGAGACCGCTGTTACTTCATACACGACGTGGCAGAGTATATGCTCGTTAAACCACCAGACCTGGGTCCTGAGTGTCACCTGCATCAGACGTTTGGTCGTTGCCCTTATGGCATCACCTGCCGCTATGCCGGTGGTCACCCAGAGATAGCTGGAGGGACTCTGGAAGAAAATACTCCAGCGAGGGAAATTACATTTGTTCCACTACCGGGAACTGTTAACCATTTGCAAAAGGGTACACAAAAGCTATTGCGAAAGCGTCAGTTTCCATTCACTGGGGCGGAGACGTACCTGCGTTCGATGTCCAAACAAAAGGGAAATTCTAAACAAAAGCCAACCCCAAAATCTGAAACTTCCGAAGTTCCTAGCAGTACATCCGTGAAGCATGGAGACTCGAAGTTGGAAAGCAGCACCCAGCCAGCTGAGCTTGTATCCAACAATTGTCCCACCGCATCGTCAGTGCCAATCGAAAAGGAATGTTTTCTGGAGTCCAATGGTAGCACATTGTGCAGTGATTTCGAAAAAGGAGTTGGCAAGTTGACCGATTGTTTGAAAATGGTGTCTGCTGGTGACCTGAACAATCACGGCCAAGCTGCCGCGTCTGAATGTGCAGCATCCAAGACATCAGAGCCCAGGTGTAGCAGTACAAGTGGGTGTCCTGTCCGCACAAGTGGCGTTCTAACAGATGAGGACATCATTAAAATCCGGCAGCCAGAGAAGAAGACGGTAATATTTTTGTGTCAATTTGTTTAGCTTTTGTTTGCTCAGCTCTTTTCCCAATATAAGCAAGGTATGAAGAAGGGGCTTGGCCCAAAATGTTGAAATTACATATATATGTTTCTTGTACGGCAGTGTTAATGAGTTTTTGTTTATATAATGTTAAAGTTCATTATATGTTTCCATTAAAATTTGTATAATCTGCTGAGGTGGCTTGGAATGCTTGGAGGGTTAATGCCAGGGCACTGAGTGGGCATTGCTGAGATGCTAGGTTTGAATTTGGGCAGCCACATTTGATTAAACTTGGTTCTCCAAAGGAGTAGGTTAATGCTCTTAGTCTGGTCACCAATGACTGCACTGACATAATTTTATCGTGTTTGATTTTCATATTTCAATAATGAGAATTAAACATTTTTATTGAATTTATATGCAATTGATGAAGTGAAGCTTGGCAAGCCTGTTGATGTTAATAAAGTAAGAAGTATTCTACAAATTTCACCTTCCAGGATTGTTTTGGCAGAGGATAATGAACTGCTGTTTGCAAGTCTGAACATATAGTTCCTCATCTTACGACAGTGCTAATAGCACGTTTTGGAATGGAGTTTTCCAATAAAAAAATATACGAAACTTTATAACCTTAGGTGTGATTTGATTAAAAATAGTCTAGTCAATGGAGTATGACTGGAATTTATGAGAAGAGTTGACAAGTATAATATTTGAGTTTTAAGAGTATTCAGCTGCTCTATTTGTCCACATGATACGCCAATTCGTTGAGCTATCATTTTTGTCCAGGCCGCTTCTGACAACTCGCGATATACTCTTTGGTTCTTTCGGTAAAGTCACGTAGAAAGAGAACAAATTAAATAATAGCGTACGACGTTTCGATTGCAACACAAGCAATCATCAGGTACAAATGGAAGAGAAAACAACCCGAGTAAATTTAGAAATATAATACAACACAGAGAGTCGGCTAACATAACAGTCAACACCCTAGCTGGTTGATTACGTTCTTCCAAAGATTTATAAATTTGAGAGAGACAAAACACAGAACCGGAGACACAGACACGTACGCAGAGAGAGATAACACAGACAGAGACACACACATAGGCACACAGAGAAACGACGCCTCTGTGTCGAGGCCTTAAATAGAGAGGGGGGCAGAGAGCTAGAGGGCGGGGGGTAGAGAAATTAGCATGTCAATGAGAGACCTGGAGTCTTCGAATGCTGCAGGAAATAAGAGGAACAAAACGAGGAGAGAGAGAGAGAGAAAAAACACTAAATCAAACAAACTTAGCAAGATTTGGAAATGTAATGCAATGCAACACAGATAGTATAGCTCAGTGGGCCTTGCCTAGTAAAATTAAATATTGTAGTTAAGATGGTCAAAGATGGCAAAAATATCAGTGTAAGATACATGGACTGCCCTGAAATGTCTAGAGGGTATTTTGGTCTACTCTTCTACACTGACGAGAAGTTTTCGAAGAGGTGGGAGTATCCACACAATCTGGCGATCAGTTAACTGTGGTGGTCCCATGAATATTTGTAGGGTGGACAGGTGGGGAATTAAAGTAACTTGTTTATATTTTCAACTGCTTCGCCGGGAGATCGCACCGTCAACCTCTGAATTTCAAGTCCAGTGTGTATTGCTCCACAACCGTATCTAGAAGAGCAGTGAGCTGCTATTGTTTTTTTTTGTTATTTGAGGGTGTCAAGATACATTTATCAAGGAATTAAGCTGCCAAATTATTTTCCCACACTTATCTCTGGCAGATACTATATACTTAATTCCTGCTTGCCTCTTCCAAAATTAGCTTGTCATCCTGAGTAACTGGCTGGCCTACTACTTCTGTTATCATCTAGAACATGCTCACATCCTGATTGCAGCTTTTGCATCCATTTCTAAATATTGGCATGATTCATGCAGTTGCTACCATATTGCGCTTTCATACTTTGATAAACCTAATTTGCCTTTACACGAAAAATCAGGAACCTACTCTTTTTTCTGACCCACCCCTACTGGACGTTTGTGAAAAGAGAGCTTCATTGCACATCGGATTTCTACAGGATAAAAAAGATTCTGATTCTGCAGTTGTTAAAAGAATCCTTCATCTTTGATCGTATAATACATCTGCTATCTAGCTGTGAGTCTATTTTTTCAGAAATGCACAAGGGTACTTGGGAAATGCCCAATTACGCCACAGTTTTTTTTACCCAAATTTTCACTTAAATATGTTACGGAATTATTAAAAGTATCTTTACTGAAATTATTGAAACACCCTTGTTGCCAGAAAAAGCAAAACATTATTTTATATATTTTTTGTTTTTCAGATTGATTTCAGAGACAAGCTGTACCTGGCTCCACTCACCACTGTAAGTTTTAATTGGTCGCAGCTAAATAAATGTGCAATAGGCTGACTCTTGATGCATTATTTTATTTGGCAGAGAGTGCCCTTTCCCTTGCTTTGTTCTTCTGATGTATGTTGAACTTTCACACTATGCGTAGCCAACCGTGTTAATCATCAGGACATTGAACAATCTTTATTGCTTTGACTCGTGACATGCCTGAATTTATATATTTGCTCAGGGTGGAGAGCTGTGTAGCACCAAATCGGGAACTCGTCCGTTGTCCTACGTTGCATACAGTGTGGTAACCTGCCATTCCGGAGGATCTGCAAGATGCAGGGCGCCGACATCACGTGTGGGGAGATGGCCATGTGCACGAACCTGCTGCAAGGCCAGATGTCGGAGTGGGCTCTGCTCAAGAGGCACCACACCGAGGACATCTTTGGAATCCAGGTGCATTCATGCGCCCTCGGGATTTTCCTTGCAGACTTTTAGTAAATTAATGTTAATCTTAAAGTCCGGCTTTTGTAAAATGTTTCCAGTGTAACATTGCATTCATATTCTTTGGGTCTTTCGGTAAAGTCACGTAGATAGGTTGAATGAAAATAATATAACTACTCGTAATATACTAACAATACATTTTCTTTCAACCTATCTACGCGACTTTACCGAAAGACTCAAAGAATATGAATTCCTGCAGTCACGAAAGCTTTAAGTCAATATTTAATGCATTCATAGCTTAATATATTAATCCTTCAGCTTACGATATATACATAAAATTGCATGTAAGAGTCTTTTCATACTCGTATGGTGAATGTAATGGGTTCACATGAGCCACTAGAGACACGTTCATTGCAGTGTTAAAAAATAGCCCTGAATGAAATTGAGATGCTGAAGTGTAGCATTTCATCAAATTACCAGCAGGTTAAGTTTATTCAACCCTACTGCCCAAAATGGTTGTAATGTGTATATGTTTGAAACAGATTTTTTTACAGATGCCGGGGTCCATGAACATGTTTTTAATAGGTTACCAACACCATAACCTAATCCTGAATGAGAGTGATTAAAACAATATTGCAATTGTTTATTGTGCTAGATAAGCAAACATGAGTTAACCCGTGTAAATATATAAATATAATGTTTTCAGGTCCAGCTGAAACAGTTGTCACATCTGTTTTTGTGAAATGTTACACTTTAATTACCACCTCCACGATGTATCTTGTGAGAAAAACAATAATCCGTACTGTATGGCCACATCTCATAGGTGTAGTGTGTTTATTCTGGGCCATGGTGTTCCGCAGCTGGAGGGGGGATTCCCAGACACCATGACCAAGTGTGCAGAGCTTCTCAACCAGAATGTGGAAATGGATTTTGTGGACATAAATGTTGGCTGCCCCATCGACCTCGTGATTAATAAGGTGCGGAGCTACTCATATGATGACCAATTCACCTTGGAATGTACCCGAACACGGCAGGTCTCGGCAGCCAAGAAGGTTTGAGCCTGGATAGTGCTTAGATGAGTGGCCACCATGTGTAAAATTGGTGTTAGAGGCTGCTGCAGGACTGTTGCCAGCAGAGAATCAGAATCGGAATATGTATTTATACTGGAGAAATCTGATGAGCTCAAAAGCTATTTTTCACAGATGTCCAGTAGGGGCGGGTAAGTACGTTACAGCAACAAGTGTTACAAAAACACGATAGGAGTGCATAGTATAGGAAAGGTAAATAAATCACTTAAAATTATGCAAATAAAAAATGTTTTTTCTTGCCAGGTAAAGCCCACTTGATGTATTAACTTATTTTACAGAAGCGACCTGGTCACAAATGATAGCTCAACAAAGTGGCTTATTGCATGGAAATTTTATAGCAGAGACCAGTGTACTGTGCTATGAGCCAATATATATGCTTTCCACCTTTACCAACCCACACTGACCAGCATGGTGAAAACTGTTCAAACCCCCAAAACTCACATGGCATGGGAAGGCCCCTCATCCAGCAGTGTTTTCACAAAAGAGTTGTACAGTACACATGCACATGTGCGATATTATATTTTTGTGTTACACCTATTCAACTCCCAAATTACACAATATAGTTTATTTGTTTACAAATTAATCATCAATGCACATCATTTTTATACACAATTCTGATAAAATGAAATCCAATTTTCAAATGTTAGAAGTTGCACTTTGCAGACCTTCTGGTTAAGCCTGTGCACTTCACATGTGCAGGCTTTGTTAAATCTTCAGTAATTCCATGTTATTCCTTATGCATTACAATTTGGATGTGTATTGTATCTAGATTCACCCACATCTTAAGACACTGTGAAGTTGGTATCTGTGAGCATACCAGCTGGGTGTTTTTAACCATACAGCTTCTGGGTGACATACCAAAGTTAAAGGCCCTTTTTGATGATAGATGCCTGACAGAGGTTTAATATTCTTCAAACACATTTTTTCACCTCCTTTGCAGACCCACCTCTCCCCTGATGCATTGCCTTAGGGTAAGGTAGGGATAGGAAAATGAACACTGACTCTACGTTTATAAGTAGCTCTGTGTGTAGCTTGTGCTTTAAGTTACTTGTGCTTCTATTGCACATGGGTGCCCATGTGTACATGTATAAATAAATGTGCTTTTGTGCACAGGGAGGAGGATGTGCTCTCATGAACCGGGGACTTAAGTTTGAGCAGATTGTGCGTGGCATGGTGTCGGTAAGGCTAATCAATTGAATCCATACAACCTAACACCATTAAACTAATCTTTATCCACTCAACATGATCTTGTGTTGGACATCGTGCATTTCTACTTGTTACATTTCTGCGTGACCATTTCTATCCACGTGTTTATATCTTCCAATCAGTCACACATTGCCCATTTATTTTAACTTTTTGGTGTGTGTGTGTTAGCGAGAGACTTTTTTCACGTCTGTGTTCCCCTTCGCGCACGTGCGCTGCTGTAGGTTCTTGATGTGCCCCTTACGGCAAAAATACGGACCGGAGTGCAGGAAAAAACGAACACGGCCCACAAACTCATCCCTGAGCTGCGTGACTGGGGCATCTCGATGGTCACTGTACGTACAAGCACACAGCTCAAACGTGACTACTGCTGGAAATAGCAAGCCTAACCACTGGTTCTTTCTCTTACTCTGGAAGCAGATGTCCACGCATAATTTTGTTGGTGATTTGTTGAATTATATCGCTGCTGGAATGCATATTCGCAAACTTCGGCATGTGTCTACGTGTACGCCTCAAGATTTACTTCCGTGACAAATAAAAAATAAATACATTATCGGTCAATGTTTCATCCAGTAAGGCATATATACAGTTTGTGGAGGCTGGTTTTAACGTAATAAATAGATGATAAAAGTCCTCCATGAAAATTCACATTATAATTAAATTTGTTGGACTAAAAGACACAATGAATACACTTTTTTCACTTAATTTTGCAATACGAATTCTACTTGTTAATGTAATGTTTTTTTTGTTCATGCCTAAATTTGCCCGGTGTTAGTTATGCAGAAAATGTCTCTGCAGCCATTCCCCACTTATTAGGGAATTAACTCATAAATTCCAGCCTAAGCTCCTGAAGAGCATGTGTAAATTAACAGCAATGATCGAGGCAAATGGTTTTGACAAAAAAAAAGTGTGTGTGTGTGTGTACATCCACTGAAGAGCATTCACCACGTGGTTGGTTCAGTGATTGACACGGGCCTTGGCTGGCGTGTAAGAGGCAGTGCTAATATGAAGGTATTAAGCTCATCACGTGCGGTGGCACTGCTCATTGGTAATGAGTGACGCTCTGCTGTGTGAGTGTAGCTGCATGGCCGGTCGCGGGAACAACGCTACACAAAACTGGCTGACTGGAAGTACATCGACTACTGTGCAGAGGTGGCCAGCCCGCTGCCCTTATTCGGTATCGTACTCTTGAATCATTCCCTTTACCCAGGAAAGCCTTACGGAGCCGCTAGACTAATTTCAGGAGGTTTCTACATTGGTCTTTTTTTCCAATTCCATTCAATAGTTTGGCGTCTAAAAAGGAAGCTATGAATGCACAGAAAACATTAATAGTTTGGGATAACACAAGCTCTGCACAGAATGAAAGCATTGAATCTCAATGTGAACTTAGTCCATTGTACTGCCACCTCCTGGCACCTTGCATCCCCCTCCCAAACAAATCTGGCTGTGTGCGCTAGTGGTCACCCACCCAAGCACTAAGCAGGCTCAGTCCTACTTTGCATCCGAGATCTGACAATGATGAGATTTATTTTGGGAGAATTAGTTGTGACATATGTGATGTGCATGCTCCCATGGTAATCCTGTCCACTCTCAAGCAGATCATTTGCGTTTTGTGCAAAAATGCTATGTCAGTATTCAGATCTGAATATGGTATGAGAAAAATACACTACAATTTTTCTTAATGCTATTTATAATTATGATCCTTGAATTGAACACTTGTTGCCAACAATTGATAGTTTGCATGTGGATATATATTTAAATAAACTTTATTCTGCTCTGCGCTGTGAATTTATCACGCTAAAATTTCTGATGAAGGATTACATAGGTGGAGTGAGAAATGTACGGAAGATAGTAGCGGAGCCACTACAGTACTTTGAATAAACTGCCATAAATTATAGAAGAGATTTCATATTTACTGCACTTGTGCTGGTAGTTTGGGAAGTAAAGTTGGAGCACAGTTTATCGGCATGTGAAAGTGGCTTTGGAACGTGATAATATTTTTAAATCTCATGAGAATGAACAGCTCGTGTCATGTCAGTTTTGCATGTGTAGCGTCCTCCTCCCACCCGGCGTGTGTGTGCGTGTGGTGTACTGCGCGCACACTCAGTCGGAGACGAGGTAGTTGCAGGAGGCACCGTCTCTCTATTATCTCTATCTCGTTTACACCACCCACTCCTCTCTCACGACCACGCTGCCGTACAGCCCGGCCCAGACACGACCATGCCCGTGTTGCATTGACGGCGTCGACCAAGACGGCCAACTACTGTTCGGCCGCGCAATGATCGGACGAAGGCGGCGGCGGAGACAGCGACGACGAGACGAGTCCACTCCCCAAACCGGCAGCCCGGAGCTCTCGCTCTCCGCTGCTTATATTTTACTTGGCGCGGCTTGGCTCCGCCTCAGCCGCGCCTCCCTTCTTGAACCCACCAGAGGGTTCCAGGGGCCCCCCAAAGAGGGGTACCGTGACCCTTGCCCCAGTTCCTCCACCCTGCCGGCACACACACCGTGTATATGCTCAACGGCGCATGCACTAACTGTCCACCGCAGTTGCTGCTGGTGGACAGCAGTCGGCGCTGTCACTACACAATATCCTTTCGCAAATCATATTATTTTATTATTAAGTTCAGTTTTCTAAAAAGCACTGCAGCCTGCTCTTGATTTTATTTAGTTCTCTTACTGGTCTGCCTCAATAACACATTCCTGCGGAGGGAGCTGGTAGGAACGTTGGATTGCTCGTTCAATGGCCAGGGTCAATGGCGGCACCACGTGGTTTATTCCGCAAATATGCCCGACTGTGAGGGTGGGCACAAACCAGCCCCACCCCTCCCACCCCCCACCCAGCCCCAACCTCCACACCCTCCCCACCCTCCCCTCCCCACCAAGCCCCACCCAGCCCCACCCTCCCCACCCAGCCCCTCCCCTCTCCACCCAGCCCCACCCCTCCCATTTTTGGATGCACGACGGACGGACACAATAATCCCCTGTGGGCTGGTGTAACCAGGAGGTTCCTACCAGTAATGGTCATACATATATACACACTGAAGTATGTTCCAGATTGATCTTCAGTGTTCAGCACACTTGTTTTACGTGACTTATGTTTTGCTCCAGAGATGGAGTGGTTCAATCAGACAATTTGCACATGGGTCATTACATCGCAGGACCATCAGAGATGGCGACGGCTTTGGGAGACCTTAATCCATCAGTGGATTGATCATTACTACTGGTGATGGTTTGGATTAAATTACATTTTTCCCATGCAGGCAATGGAGATGTGCTGTCTTACGAGGACATGGATCTGGCTCGACAGACAAAAGTAGCCGGCGTCATGATCGCCAGGTTGGGAACCATCTCACTTGTCTTTGTCTTATGGTGCACACACCTTGTATGTATGTTGAACTTATTTCGCACCGTATGTAGCCAACCGTGCTAATCGGGGGTGCGGAGGAAGGACAAAAAACTAAACATCAACAAGCTTCACATTTTAATTAGAGCTTACTTAACAAGAGGTTAAATGCATTGCAATATTGTACAATATTTAAGGGTGCCTGGGGTGCTTGCTTTGGTGCCGTTTTTTTGCTTGTTAAGCGCTGCAGTCATGAACGAAACGTGATTTGGATATCTGTTGAACATTAATACACTTCAGGAGATCATAATCTCACGACTTATAATAGTTCTGTTTTGATAGGTATCTCAATGTGAAAAAATACCATGGCTTTGTACCTGAATAAGTAAAATTTATCCGCCCCCCCACCCTATAATTTTTGCTTTCTGTACTGGAAATGAAGGTTATTTAATGTCGAGGAAAAATTACTTGTGAAAACAAATGAATAAGTTGGCACAATAGGTTGTCAACCATTTTAAAGCATCGCGTAAAAACATTTGGAATTCACTTGTTCATTTTATGATATACGTTGTGACTGATGACGCAAAGTTGGTGCTCAATATGATGGTGCCTATGGCTTTTGAGTGCAGAGGTGCGCTGGTCAAGCCATGGATCTTCACGGAAATCAAAGGGCGGCGACACTGGGATATCTCATCCCATGAGCGCTTTGAGCTGCTGCGGGACTTCACAAAATATGGCCTGGAGCACTGGGGCTCGGACACGCAGGGGGTGGAAAAGACACGCAAGTTCCTGCTGGAGTGGCTCTCCTTCCTATGCCGGTGAGCGACGTTTTGTTGCTCGTCACGTCTACATGAGACCAGGAATTTGATCTCTGATGTTTGGTTGCATGACATCTGGTCATGCTTTACATCACCAGATGTGAAGCAATTTTGAAAAACAGGTCCCTGCAGGGTGGGCTGGTAGGAACATTTGAATTTTGCGCAATTTTATTTTTACACCCCAACAGCACGAGATTTCACTTCGTTAAAGTATTGAAAGGGGACGGACGGACACATTAATCTATTGCAGGCTGGTACACTCAGTTTACAACTTCGTTCCTACCAGTATAACAGAAGCTTTATCACTGGTGGGTGGCACTGCTGTGTAGGTTCATAATTATGGGTGACAGGACAATGTAATAGGTTTAGCAGCAGTGTCAGACACCAATGTCAAGCAATGTGTTTTTTTTTTATTAGAGCACAATTAATTTGATATTTCTCTCGTACCTTCAATGTGCATTGTGTTTATGCACCTTCTCTTTAAGTTATTTTCACGTATGTATACGTTATGCAAGGTATCTTCAAAAGCAAAAGTTGGTGACCATCCTCAATGCGTGGCTTGCTTTTTACAAAAAAAGTATGCCCGACTGTCTGGCTCAGGTATATCCCCGTGGGAATCCTGGAACGTGTGCCGCTGAAAATTAATGAGCGTCCACCGTACTACCTGGGCCGGGATGACATGGAGAGCCTAATGGCCAGCCAGAACGTCGCCGACTGGATCACAATCAGGTGCGGAGGGTTCCCTGTAAGTTTTGTTCTTGGTGCCACAGTGCAGAGAACAGAATGGAACTACGCCAACCAGTCATATTTGTGACTGTTCAGTGTGGACAGGTGGCAGACAGCATGATTGAATTATTTCTATGTAAATGATAAATGCTTATTATTTTTTTTTGTACATTTATGAAAATTGTAACGTTGCAAGCCATTCTTAATGAGTTTAACATGTAGGATTGTGACCAATATTCATGAGATTTTTTTGGGTAAGATGGCATGAATATAAACGTGTTCTTAATTCTTACATTGTTCATTTATTGCTCTAATATTTAGGCTCAATACCCGAGGAATGGGGCCCATTTATTGTCTAAGGTTCAAACCCGTTTGATCAGTGCGTACCAGTCTCAGACCCAAATCAACACTGTCTTCTATCTGCAACCCATGGTGATCTACTGTACCCACGTGTGAACCTTGTGCGATACGGCCAGCACACTTTCGGAGTCTCCGACCCAAAAACCTGCAAATACTTACCAGCACACCTTCAGGATCCATCCCTGAGCCAGTTTTGCAAGATACTTAAACCTGTGTTTTGCAAAGAGCTTTCTATGTGTGCATTCGTGATGGAATGGACTCAAGAGCGCACAATAAGAAATTATCAGACTTCGTGCCAATCTGTGTATCTGAACAGAGCCGTGAGGTTCCCATGACTCAGCCTCCATTTCATCCTCCCCTGCCCTATTCCCAACGAAATTTTTTCAACTAAATTTAACTCAGGCTGGGTTAAGTTAGACTATTGCTAGCTAACCTCTCCCCTATGTATTTCCACACTGTTGCAAGGGATGTCTTGACCCCATGAGGTTACGACCCTTTCTGAAGTAGTCCTGGGTGAAAGTGTGCAACTCCTTTATAGAAACAAACCCCAAGGCCTGTGCCAAGTTGTGTGTCACGAGTGCTGTATGGTAGTCATGGGAAAAATTTGTCAACCTTTTCAGTGTTCATGGAAATGTGATACAATGTTATGGTGAAAATGATGCCTCTGTCAACCTGTGTTCAAATAGTCGTTAAAGTATGATTTTATTGCCTAATGTGGTGTGACCTTTTTGTATGCAGTGAGATGCTTTTAGGGCCAGTGCCATCCAGCTTCACCTTTCTGCCCAAACACAAGGCCAATGCTTACAAGTAAGAAGAGAAAGGTCCTCCACTGCGTGCCTCGGCTGACCATCAGCTGTGGCCCTTCACGTTGCTGCACGTGGACCAGGCTGTGGCATCCCTCAGTGTTGGTGGCTACAACATGCCAGGATTTTGTCAAACATCAATTTTTTTGTTATTTTGAAAAGTATATTTGCCCTTGTAGAAGTGAATTGTTGACTGACAAAGGTAAAATTAATAGGGTAACCAGGGCATTTCAATGTTGAAAAACAAATAGCAGTCTTTATGTTTTAAATCCCCACATCTATCACATTGGGTTTTGCAGTTTGTGAGCTTAGAGTCATTTGCTGCCTGTGTAATGTCATTGTCATTTGTTTTTTAATGGATAAAGTGTTAATTTCCCATTTTGTGCATTACTGCCTTTCACTTGGAATACCAATTCTGTACTGTTTGCTTGTTTCGCCTGAAATCTAAAATTGCAAAGCATAATAGCCTTTTTATTACATCTTGAATTAGTTTGTTTCACTTACAATGACTTAAACAGATTATATTTAAGGATTGGGTATCAGCAGTTTTTTCGTATGGATGCAGGGTTGAATTGACTGGTTAAATAGCTTTCTGAAAATAAACTTCCCTGTAAATCATTGTTTTCTACCATCTTGACAGACCACACATTGTAATTATGCACCTTCACATTTGGCTTCATCTGTGGCATATGTCCTGCCTTTTGCATTTTTTCTCCACTTTCCTAAAATGAACAGGGAGGTTTGCAGTTAAAGCAATATATGCAGAATTTAGTTTAAGTTGCAATCTATTTTGGTGTGGGTTTGCAGTTTTGGGCTTAGTTCTGCCAGTCCTGCCCTTGCTCAGGTAGCTTGCATCCTGTCTCATTAAGCTGTCCACTTCCTATTTAGGCTCCACCCCTTCCCGTTAGGCCATGCCCATTTTATCAATTTGAGACCCACCCCTTCCTCCAGACAGCTTGGATCGTGGGAAGGGGAGTGTGTCGCTCTCAATAGGGGGTTGGTAGGTAGGAGTGGGGTAGGTTCAAAGACCAACAAGGGCTTAGGACTATAAGATTAAAATGTGCCATAAAAAAGTGAGTTTTGGAAACAAATGTTTACCAACATGATTTTTTTAGGATTGTTCAATGCAGGAATTGATGGCATCTGTAGATTCTGGGCGACTCGTACCTGCAGTCTTGCAAATCCAAATCGCTTGCATTCAGAGATTGTATATTGTTTAACATGCTTAAAAAGGGGCAACGTGCTACATTTTCCACAACAAAAACTATGCATGTCTTAAAAGACCAGCGTTTATATTGCATCAGATGCTTTCTGTTCCAAAATCCTTTGCCACTATACACCAATTTAAATATTTGCCAGGTATACCTTTGCAATTCAAACGTACATCTCATGCATAATTCCGACCTGGCACTGCTACTTCTAAAGATTCTCAATACAAATCCAGGAAAGGAAAAGCTTAAATTGATATCGATGTTCAACTAATCAAATGTTTAAAACAAAGGCGTTTGCAATGGAGTGGGCTCAACTACGTTAAATTATTTTGCACATGACCAAAATCACCTGGAATGCACTCCCAAACTCGAATGCAAAGCATTGACCCCGAAGAGTTATTGGATAAATGGCTATGCATAACAGGCATTCAAGTCTGTGGGGTTGCCTAACGGGCAATAGATGGCAGTCCAGCTAAATCCATTGCTTCACCAAACCCCATACCTTGAACTATCACTAAAACAGCGTGAAGTGCCTTCGCAGGTTACTTTTCTAGACGATTTATTTTATAGCAACCTATTTACAAGGCCAGAGTAAGACTGGCATGTCACAAGGCAATGACTTTGCAACCCTGGTCGTTTCTACGCATCTCAAACAGTCCTTGGTTTCAACCATGTAGATATCGGACAGTCTTTGGCTTCCACCATGTCGGCACCGATGTCATCCACCTTCAGTCAAGTCCCCAAGCCAGTGCCCTTATCGCAGGCCTCGTTCCCTCATACCTGCTCGGCCACACCCTGGTAACGTCCACCACTTCCCCCCGGTAGATACTTCCAGCAGATTAGTCTTTTACTTCCCTTCTTGAACCTTCCCTCACAGTACCATGTAGCTGTTTCCACCCATCTCTGCCGACCCCACTATCCCTTCCCATGTTACATTACCCTACACCAGTATGGAAAAGTAAGCTCCATGACCGTCACATTGTGAAGGGAAAGTCAATGCATTTACAAGGGCTGCACGTAGAAATTAATCTTAAAATCAAGTCTGCTCAGGGAAGGTTTTAAAAGCTGAAAAATTGCTTTTTAATGCAGTGTCATTTTGCATGAGTTTGCAAGGCGTGGGAAATGTCCAAGTTGACAAGTGTGGTTTTAGAATCCAAAATATTTCTAATATCTGCCAACATGTCACAATTGAAACATCTACCAGAAAAAAAATCTTTATTGAGCAAAATTAGAATATTAAAAGTATTTTAAAACATAGCATAATTATAAACGCATTCTTAAATTCTGCAAGCCATGCGAGTCCAGGTTACTGAAATGGAACGGAGCGTTTTGTAGAATCTGAAAAAAACACGAAATAACGTGTTAAAATAACTTGCCTTAAGTCAAGCACCATTACAATTTTAAGCAGTTCCCGTAAGAATCTGAACACATGTCACTAGCCATACAGCTCTTTTAAAAAAAATTGACTTTAGCCTTGAAAAAAGGGATGCGATGTTTAAAACAATGCCGAAGGTTTTCAAGAACAGGTTCACTTGGATACCTAGGTCAGGCTGCACACATGCCCGGCCGCACGAGACGAGGCAGCACTTGAGCTCCCCTGGGCATCCCAAGTCACTGCTGCAGCCCTCTTCAAGCCGGGTGCACACAACCTTGTCACTCGCCAGGGGACACAACCCGAGCTTGTGCACACCTGCAGCCATCGAACAAGTCAGGCAGCTTAAAATATAAATATCCAATACAAACAGTAACGTGACATTAAAACAATATTTTAAATCGTACGCTTGATAGCGTTCCTTCAGTGCGCCAAGTATTCTGTTGTGGATTGTAAGTTCAAGCTGTACATGACCGAGTAAATGGACCATACAGCTAATTATCTCACGAGTTGGACCATACATCATCCAAGAACAATCTCAGTTTGAGAGTTAATAGTACATTTAGCCAATCAATAATGGACCAGCTGTGAATTATGTACCTTCCTGTGGCTGCATGCAGTGGCGTTCACACTTTGCGTCGCAGCACTTAAGTCGGCCAGGGCACTCGAGATCGGCAGAGCAACGCTCCACGAAGTGAATGCACAATACGTCATGAACTACGGAGGGACAGAACCCAGGCTTCTGCAATCCTGGGGTTGAAGATAAAGCATTTCCAAACAACAGTAGTGTCAGTCACCATCAGTACTCGTGAAACATGCCAAGGACACGGTCTTTTATAAAATACTAGGATATTTACTGCAGAATTTCCCAAACATGTCCTCACGACTTCCCATTAAATAGGTCTAACAGTCCTAAAATTAATGCATGTGTAGCTTAAATCTGGTCAAATCAATTATCAAGTCTGAATTGCCAAACTTGGGCATTTATTGCCATTGCTTTTCGGAAATGACGTCTTATCCCATATAACCACCATATTTTCATGCCGGTTCATTTGATCGTGACCAAATCGCTTTAAATTCAGATATCAGAAACCAAGAAGGGTTGAAACGTGGCTATTACTCGTGTAGTGACAGAATTGGTCACCAAGTAGCATAGCGCTGGCTGCTGGCAGGGGATCTGCAGCTTGTAGAAGCCCTGGCTGACAGCAGGCCACGTGACAGACCCGAGAGGAATCTAGGGAAAAGGTTACAGAAGGGACACGTCGAGAGCCTGCTAGTCGGTTCCAGAAGCGGGGCATGGCCTGGGCGAGTAGAAGGGCCCCCAAAGGGGGTCTCGGGGCTGTCGTTTGGAGTGAGATCTACGTCGCCGTTGCTGCTGAAGAGTTGCCATCGCTGCTGTCGTCTCGTGCCTTCGTCGCCGTCGTCTGCATTTAATAATTGCGCTGCTAGACGTAGTTGGCCGTCTTAGTTCAGCGCCGTCAGTGTCAGACGGCTAGCGTTGTGTGTAGGCTAGCAACCTGTGCGGAGTTGCATATAAGCGAGAGACAGTAACAGTGTAGGGTGTGTATAGTATAAAGTGCAAAGTGTGCTCAGTGTTTAATTAAAAAAATTGCCTCTAAGAAGTTGCGTCTCAGTCATTCACTACACTTGAAAGGATGACCCACCAGGGCCTGCCAGGTGCTGTAGGAATGAGGCTGCGAGATTAATAGATGGCAGTTCCAGGTACTGTAATCCCATCGTACGAGTGGTGGTCCCTCTCCAATTTCCACCCACAAAGCAAACAGTCATTAAATCATGACATTGGCCTAACAATATTCGATTCCTGAAAATCTTGGGAGTTTCGGCAACAGCGTCTAGGGAGGTACAAACGTGGCATAATGTCATTATAACAGTTAAGCGTGAAGTGTCAGCACACTCGCCTTGGTGTGTGCCGGTGTCGTCCCACGACCCCAAGGGGCCAGGGCAGGCAGTGATGTTGCTACAGTCCTGGTCAGGAACCAGGCTGCAGTAGCTGCCGCCGCTTCTAGAACTTGGGTCCGGCACGGTGCACTCCCCAGGGGCTGGCGAAACCCACGCCTTGATGCAGGTTTTGTACAAGTCCGTGTCCGCTACATTTAGGATGCACACAAAGGGAGGTTTTACAACTAGGTCCCACGACCTTTAAAACCAAGCAATGGAATACGATTGACCAATGTGCACGTACCCGTTCTCGGGCATGCGTCACTCCATCATGAGTGGAAATACGAGATGGCGCTTTCGTGGATCTACCTTCAGCTGTGTTTGTCCGAATAAATTGACGTTTATTGGGGAAAAGCGCTTTCAATAAGCGGTAACGCCGATGTAAAAAAATAAAATCATGCAGCGTGCAATTCTATCGAATTGGCGCACCGAGGACACAATGCACTATTCCAGCCAAAATCCGTCCAGTTACATTTTTAAACGTTGCTGCGATCCGATTGCATTCCCGTTCTGGGAACAAGAAATCACAGGGAATGTGCGTTAGCAACAGGTGCTCGTTCCAGAGAAATTACGTTTCGTCAAACGTTTAAGTTACTCAAGACTGCCACCGCATAAAAAAGGAGTTCACCCGTGGCGATGTTCTTTGCCGAGCTGCGTTCCCACGAGAAGTTGGCGAGGCAGGTCCAGGGATCAGAGTTAGAGTCCAGCCTGGGGCACGAGTTGTCCCACGTGGACATGGGTCCGCGCTTCGGAGCTGTAGGAATGGAGATGAGAAAAAAAATATGAAAAACAGATCCTTGCCATGTGTCGAACCTCTTTCGCACTATATGTAGACAAACGTGCTCATCGGAGTTGCGGAGGCAGGGGAGAAAACAAAAACGGAACGTTCTAGAAAGAGGTCAAATTTATATTTTAACAAGTGCATAGCTCTAATGACTCCCTAATAATCGGAGGGAAGAACACTCCAGACGGCCACAGAAGCACGCGACGGTCTTTGTTCGATAGGCAGCCAAACACCGCTGCGAGGACGACCGGAGTTAGCGTGATAATGTTCTGCGACTTGCGATCGGCGAGGTATTGCGGCGTTAAGGCGCGCTCCACCTGCCGGCTCCATGCTGTTAACACCCAAAAACATTTTTTCAGGAACCGAACCACCCAGCAAATGGAAGGAAGTCGCGACAGCGTGCCGAATGACACGATGTGCAAATCGAAGCCGCATTCCAAAAAGACAGCCAGCAACAACCACGAACACTTACGCATTATTAAAAACATGACGTTATTCGCAGACTAAAAAAAAACAACAACCTGCCGTTAGTCCTTACCTCGCACCCAATAAACATGGAGCGTTGGGCCAACATTGCATGTTTACTGGGCGCACTACCTTGTCAAGTAACCGTAATGACATTTGTCTAAGGTCTGCATTGCTTTGTTAGAAACTCTAATTGAAGGCAATTCTTTGCATCGTCGTGCAGGGGGGGGGGGGGGGGTAAGGAAAGCTTAGAGAAATCCACGCATTGCAGAATATATATTAAAAAAAAATAAGATTTTTGGCATTTTACCAGACCCACTGAACTATATAGCTCTTTCAGACGCGATCTGGCTGCAAATGATAGGAAATTAATAGCAGCCAAATAGTGTACTGTAAAACGCATGTATAAGTCTATGGAGGGAAAAACCGGAGGACCCAGGAAAAAAAATCTACACGACCACCTGTAAACAAAGAGAGGTAGCTAACATCTCGCCACCGTGGCGCCCCCAACCTCAAATAATCCACACAGATGGGTTCACGGAGAGAAGTTCCATTGCCAATTACATAGCCACATCGCAGCCCAACCGGGTGTGGAAAAAGTCGCATCTGCGTTATCAAAAAGCCTCGCTCCTAACACTTTGGGCTTACAAACAACGCGCCACCCTCAAGCCACGATTTTGCCGCTTCTCTTCTCCCCTTTCAAAATGCCATAGTTTCATCAAGTTGCCAAGTCCGATTGAAACACGCACATGGACTCAAACATAGCTTCGGACTCAAAGTCAACACTAGCGTTCTATCAAAGATTTGGTACTTTCCACATAATTCTAGGACAATGGTAATGCTCTTCGCCGATCAGATCAGGGTCGAAACATTAACAGCTCTACAAACCATCGCACAGTGGAGATCGCTTTATAGACCAGAACGCTCATCAGCATCAACTCGAGCGGTAAAATCTGCGAACCGTTTACGCACCCGCATATTTGGTTGTTCGCATAACGGACAATAACATGACCTGCAGACAGCTTTGATGAGCGCTCCAGAGCTAGGACCACCAGCAGCCATCCGGTTAACACAGACGGCTCCATAACTCATGTGTGAATATCCCAGGTAGACCTGCCGGACCAGCTTTTTATGGTCGCTCTCCTCCCCGCTCCCCTGCCTTATTGAGCTGACGGCTTTGCCAGGTGGCAATCATCTCCTATAATTGCCCCTTCGGTGGGTGGCAGACCGGGTGCCTCCTGGTTTCACGTGCGACGACACTAATTTCTAATCTTCTCTCGCGCCTGTCACAATGCTGGTCACAATAGCGATGAGTAGACCTCGCGTGTGTAAACTTTGCAGGGTGATTCTTTACGTACAAACAACAACACACACAGCAAACAAATAACACGCGTCTGAAAAAGGTTAAATCATTTATATACATAAAACATTTTAAGCAATTTAAAACGAGGCACTTTGACCGCATCGCCTCAAACTTCAGTTCTGCCGACCCATCACGGGACGCACGGTGCGTTTTACACGTTCTACAATCTTTTGCCTTTGGAACCAAAATGAAGTGGTCGAGCCTGCCGCTCTCGTATGCGCACGTGGATGCAATCGACGTGGCCGTTTGATTAGGCGGCGCAGTCTCTCACGAGCATCGTCTTAATTACAAAATAGCAAAGTTTTGCAGTTTTTGAAATAAATGAAATAATCACATTTCAAATTGACTGGCTGCAAATCCAGGCGCGGAACAGGCGCCAGGTTGACGGGGGATTGAGGCGATAGCGGCAGAAGCCACGGGCGTGAGGCAACGGGAGGTCGCCAGCTTAATTCATGAGTTAATAAGGAGGGGGATATAAACGGGAGTGTGTGTGTGACAGAGAGAGAGATAGTTGAGTTGGTCGGAGTGAAGACAAGAGGAAAGACGAGAGAAGTCCCAGGCCCCCCTCTCCACACCTGGCCCTCTCCAGCGGCGATGGCTTAACCCCCACTGGGGGCAAGGGGCGAGGGTGGAGGGACGAGGGTAGAAAGGCTAGCAGTAGAGAAGCTAGCGGAATCCTAAGTGTGAGCATGTGAAGCCAGCAGTAGAGAAGCTAGCAGAGTATATAGCGGAAGGCTAGCAGTGGAGAAGCTAGCAGAGTATGTGGTGGTAGGTTAGCAGTAGAGAAGGTAGCATAAGAGATAGTGAGAGGCTAGCAGTGGAGAAGCTACCCGACTATAGTAATAGGCTAGCAGTGGAGAGGCTAGCAGAGTCTGTGGTGGGAAGCTATCAGAGCGTGTAGTGGTAGGCCAGCAGCGGAGCGTGGCAGGCTAGCAGGAGAGAGGCTAGGAGAGTGAGAGTGAGAGCAGGCTAGCAGTAGAGAGGCCAGGAGAGTGAGTGAGAGCAGGCTAGCAGTAGAGAGGCTCAGAGTGAGAGCAGGCTAGCAGTAGAGAGGCTAGGAGAGTGAGAGCAGGCTAGCAGTGGAGAGGCCAGGAGAGTGAGAGCAGGCTAGCAGTGGAGAGGCCAGGAGAGTGAGAGCAGGCTAGCAGTAGAGGCGAGGGGAGTGAGAGAGAGAACAGGCTAGCAGTAGAGAGGCTAGGAGAGTGATAGCGAGAGTAGGCTAGCAGTAGAGGCGAGGGGAGTGAGAGAGAGCAGGCTAGCAGTAGAAAGGCCAGAAGAGTGAGTGTGAGAGCAGGCTAGCAGTAGAGAGGCTAGGAGAGTGAGAACAGGCTAGCAGTAGAGAGGCTAGGAGAGTGAGAACAGGCTAGCAGTAGAGAGGCTAGGAGAGTGAGAGCAGGCTAGCAGTAGAGAGGCTAGGAGAGTGAGAGTGAGAGCAGGCTAGCAATAGAGATGCTACGAGAGTGAGAGCGAGAGCAGGCTAGCAGTAGAGAGGCTAGGAGAGTGAGGGTGAGAGCAGGCTAGCAGTAGAGAGGCCAGGAGAGTGAGAGCAGGCTAGCAGTAGAGAGGCTAGGAGAGTGAGAGAGTAAGCTAGCAGTAGAGAGGCCAGTAGAGTGAGAGCAGGCTAGCAGTAGAGATGCTACGAGAGTGAGAGTGAGAGCAGGCTAGCAGTAGAGAGGCTAGGAGAGTGAGAGCGAGAGCAGGCTAGCAGTAGAGAGGCTAGGAGAGTGAGAGAGCAGGCTAGCAGTAGAGGCTAGGAGAGGTGAGAGAGAGCAGGCTAGCAGTAGAGAGGCTAGGAGAGTGAGAGTGAGAGCAGGCTAGCAGTAGAGAGGCTAGGAGAGTGAGAGTGAGAGCAGGCTAGCAGTATAGAGGCCAGGATAGTGAGAGCAGGCTAGCAGTAGAGGCTGTGAGAGAGAAAGCAGGCTAGCAGTAGAGGCGAGGAGAGTGAGAGAGAGAGAGCAGGCTAGCAGTAGAGGCTAGGAGAGTGAGAGTGAGAGCAGGCTAGCAGTAGAGAGGCTAGGAGAGTGAGAGAGAAAGCAGGCTAGCAGTATAGAGGCTAGGAGAGTGAGAGAGAAAGCAGGCTAGCAGTAGAGGCTAGGAGAGTGAGAGAGAAAGCAGGCTAGCAGTGGAGAGGCTAGGAGAGTGAGAAGGAGAAAGCGGAGCGAGCGAAGCAGGCGAGCAGCGTTAGTGGGAAAATCACAAGGGAGTTACAGGGTGCCGAACGCGAGGAGTTCTGTTCAATTAAATGTTACACAGGAGAAAAGAAGAAGTTGTCCGCGTTAAATAAAAACAATACACAAGTATATCATTAGACCTCCTTTGCCAGTACCAAAATATAATAATAGGGGTTTTCCCCGTTTTCTGGCAACAAAACTGAAACCTTTTTACAAGCATTAATGTATTTTGGCGTCATATGGTCGAGCACCAATTGGGTCGAGGCTCAAAAGAAAGCCGTCCCTTGGTTTGGACCAATCAGCTTCAAGGACAATGCATATATTATCATAGTAGGTTTTTTGTTTACATTTTGACTGCAGGTATTGTGGTTAATGCAGACATGAATCCTCGTAAAAAGGTTTCAGTTTTGTTGCCAGAAAAAAAGGGGAAAACCCCCTATTATTATAATACATAAGTAGTAACAGATGCTGCATTTTGTGCTGTGTTTTTCCATTAGTTTTACCTCGTTCAATTCATGAAATACGTCGGAGTCAGATGTTCACCCTGGCTCTCAACGTTTATTGAATGCGAGGTTAACTACTCGGATAGTGGTGCAATGCAGCGCACAGCGAGGCCGAGAAAGTAACGGTATAAAAATGTAAAATACTGTAGTCTGTTTGCTGTAGAGAAATTGGCCACTAAAGTCATTACTCAATGACAGCATTTAATAACGTTATGCTGTGTTCAGTATATATGATCATGTATTGTATCCACATGACTTGATTGTGAATATGTTAATTTAATAAGATCATCTAGTCTATTAAAGTGTTATTATTGGTGGTATAAACCACAGTTCACTCTAAAATCAGTGGTTCACTTTTGACTAAGCCGTCCACATCTATTTAATGAAATTAACGCATCGACCACTGACATTCACAAATGCCTGCTTAATTTTACTTTTGTTTAAATGTACAGGAGTGTAAATCTGGATTTCACATTATATTTCTCAGCAAGCATAGATAAATGATAAGGACCCTTCATTCAGGGGTGCTGTGGTGGCAAGGTTTAACTACCTCGCCTTTTATACAGGAGTTCGCGGGTTCGATCCTAACCCTGACACCTGCTGTATATTTGCAGTTTGCATGTTCTCCCCGTGGTCGCGTGGATTTTTTCTCCGGATCCTCCAGTTTTTCCTCTACATTTAGAAACATGCGTTTATAGTGTTTGGCTGCTATAAATGTCCACATGATAAGCCACTTCGTTTGGCTATCATTTGTTGTCAGGTTGCTTCTGAAAAAGAGCGATGTAGCTTTGTGGGCCTTACCTGGTCAAATAAAAAAATAGTTTCTAAAAGTTTAATAGTTTAATAAGTAAGTGAAATTGTTTACTCAGCATTAAAAAGATACCATACTCAGTTCCCAAATTTGATAACGTTTGGAAAATGCAGCTTTTTTATGTTCTGCTAGAAGTGATCATAGGCTCACTCTAAAAATTATTTTGTATGAGCTCACAGTGAAATATTTAGTATCCATGTATTTCCTAATGGATTAGTATCGACTGAACCAATACTGGCTAAATCGGTGCAATGACGACCACCCTCTGTCCCTTCACTGTTTTATTGCAAACTCTCACACAGTGCCACTCACAACCACTGCCTTGGAAGGTTGCAATGACGTTTCAGCTGGTGGAAATTGTGAGTTTATATTCTCGAAGCATGACATGCGTTTTCCTTGTAGAAAAAGTCTTTCACTTTTACAGCAGTGTGTTTTGACAAGGGATATATTAGCAAAAAACAGAATTCCCTGGCGTTCTGTGCCTGTTTGCTCCATCAGCTTAGAATATAGTCATACGTTGGTGCAACCTATTTAAAATACCAAAATATCAAATATATCTTAGCATTCCACCGTACTCACCTAATTAACAGGAGCTGGAAATTATCCTGAAGTAGGGTTGTCTTCAAATACACTCTTTCATCTGCTCTAGATTTTCTGAAACAATGAGCTTTATTTGCAAGAAACGTAAAACACAATTGTCGATTGGAGAGGGATTTACGTACGTTTGGTTCCCTTGTGAGAGTTGCATACATTCACGCCTAATGTCAACTCATTCAAACTAATATTTTTCTGTAAAAACTCACCGTGATTTTATGTTTTGAATATAGTATAGCCAGAAGGGAGGTTGAAGATGGTAAAAGTTCCAGTAGGCGGCACTATAACACAAACAGAAAATTCAGTCCTCTATATTTAAACAGCGGTCCCCAACCTTTTTGGCACCAGGGACCGGTTTCGTGGAAGACAACAATTTTTTCACGGACCGGGACGGGGGGGGGGGGTCATCATTGGGTCTTTCCCTCTTTTCAATGAAGCTCTCCAGTGTCGTTTGTTTTTTTACTCATTTTGGCTACTAGGGGTCGGAGCTTGTGGGCTTACCAACACCACGTGACAAGTGGCGCAGTGCGGGACAGAGGCACGGACAGAAGTATCGGTCCGCGGCCCGGGGGTTGGGGACCCCTGCTCTATAAGGATCATTCATTCATAAGAGGTCACATGTGTCGTTAAATCCGCCACTACCACCCGACACAGCCAATTAGTAAGGTTTGTCACGTCACCTGGCTATCACCTGATTAGGCTGGTTG